CACACACACACACACACACACACACACACACACACACACACACACTACACGCACGCACTGTGTGGGTGTGCGGTGCAATATCACGGGCTGTGCGCATTGATCGAGTAATTGCTGGCCTAATTACAGCAACCGTGCATCATATCAGAAGTAGATAATAGCTCCTGATAATAGCAGGAGCTAATAACGACAAATTGTCATTTTTGTCATTGTCATTATTGTCTTATTGGCTATTTGCTATTTGTCATTATTACATACCACACCAGCGCAAACTCGTGGTAATTTTTATACAGGTGCGATGAGAAATATTTTCGCTAATAGACGAGACCTATTTTGTCTACACATTTTAAAGAGATAATTTAAAGACAACTAATTTTAATGTCTCTATTAGATTAATTAAAATGTTTCTCTCATAAATACTATTAATGACAATGGCAAAAAACATAGAAACAAAACTTACAATTGGTCCATCACCCCTTTCAAGAAATGGTTGGTGGTTGATATGCACTATAGCTGGCAAAACAAACTGTAGAAACAAAAAAAGAATAATAATAAGTTTACAGGATTCCATCAATGACTGGGAACTACACGATACAAGAAAATTCATATTTTCTATAGCCCAAACTAAAATACCAAGCTCATGTGTTATGTTACTACACGTGTGTTCTCTTGCTTAAAAATCCGTTTTAATATAACCTTTGACAATACTTACGGCCAACGTTTTTCCTGACCCTGTCATTGCAATTCCAACAAGATCTAGTCCTTTCAATGCAATAGGCCAGCCCTGTGCTTGGATCGATGTTGGGCTAGTCCAACCCTGAGCCCTGATAACCTCCATAACATAGTCTGAAGCGCGCCAGAAATAAATCAGCAAATAGTAGTTTACATGAACATAATGCAGCACTGCAATGAGTGATTCTTCTTTAACATTCAATAAGTTTATGCCATGTCACACAACAACTACGCCAAATTATTATGCATCGTTGACTAAGGTAAGCAGCCGCTGGGGATGACTAAAAAACAACGTCGCATATTGCTATGCAAATTCGCAACCCTTTTAAAAACAAACAAGGCAACACACTAAAAGCAAGTTTACGAGTGAATGACGCGCGTGACAAAGCGGTTTACACAGCTGATCAGTGCACAGTATCGGTGCGCTGCAACTAAATCTATCTACGATTACTAATTCAATGAACATGTGTAAAACACACGTTACAGTATTCACAAACACGTAAAGACTAACTTCACTACCCTCTCCGACATGCATCGTCCTTCACCTGCATGCAGTAGCTTCTTAAGAACACTGTATTCTGACATTTCCCCCTTACCAAAACGAAGGAACTTACGATGTGGAGGAGAAGCAGTGTAGCAGCAAATCAATGGCTTGCCAAGCCTACAACCAACCGTCCGTTGCAGTAGCAGTTGCATGCACGGCAGCTGACCATAGTAACTATACCAGACCAAAATACATACCAGGCACACATGCCTCCTCAAAGTGGAATACCGGTCTCGGAAGATCTCTCCCACGCAACGTGATCTGCTTCTCTCTATAGTAAGCTAGTATCTCATCCTACAGGTACAACGACAGAACACATGTCTAAAGTAAAAGATAGACGTAGTCGACAACCTTGAGTATAGGCTCTCACACAGAGTACCTGCGCAATCTGACTTCACCCATTCAAACACGACTTCGTGTTCGGTGATCGCCCTGCGACAGCAACCACTTGCGACTCCAGACTTCACGATGAGCACATGCATGCCATCAATGAAATCTGGAGTACTGACCAGGTGAAAGGCAAGCACTCCGTGACTACGCCCAATGCTCAAAGTTGCCAGTAGTTAGGCACAAGAGCATACCCACCAGGAAAGCAGGCCTCCTCGAAGGAGAACACAGGCTTTGGGCAGTTTCTACCTCGTGTTGAGATGATATGCACATGCATGTATGCAGTGATCTCTTCCTGTTTAAAGACGAGCATGAAGCAGTAGCGAAAAAATCTAACAATAGGTATCACAGTGATATTTTTTAAGTGTACGAAATTTCTAAACTTTGTGGATTTTATTATAAAGCTCATGAAAAGAAACATTTTGATACATAGTTTGTCAAATTTGAATGCATACTTTTGGAGATATGCTTTTTTTAAGGTATTGGGGAAGGGTCGATTTTGTTTAAATTAATGCATAAGTGATAATCAGTCATATTTGCGTGCAGTCATATCTCAGAAATGCACCCTTCAGTGACATTGAACTGTTGTTATCTTAAACTACCTATGGCATACCACACTCCTATTTTTTTCATGTTGTGCAGAATTTTTATTATTTTTTTATTATTTTTTGAAAACCCTTGTAAAGCATATTTTGTCATGTGTAACAATGCACTTTTTACTAATTGCGCGCAAGTTCTCAATGCATTTTCAAAGCCACAAAAATTCAAAACGTACACAGAAGTAATCTTTGGCTACCAAGCAATAGGTATAAAGTTTAAAGGACTCTGTGAATATGGACCATGACAAATGTCCAGTAATTTTTTAAACTGTATCCAAACATGGCTCTAAACTGCTGCGCAAGGCATTTTTAACAAACAAGTACTTTAAAAATGCACGCCATTCATCACCCGACTTACCCATAGACTTAAAACGTTACATACTATTCCATTTTCACCAGTATATTGATCTGCACTAGGTTTTACAGCTAGTCCAACTATATATTTTATTTTCCTGATCTTAAAAAATGTCCAAAAATCGTCCTTTAAACAAATATTCCTTATGTGTACGATGCTGTAGTCTATATCGGCTAGTAACACATAAACACCGACTCGCGGCCCGCCAGTGTGAACCAGCAAGATCGATAAGCAAAGCATCGTTACAGCGCTGCTCATTTCGTCTTCCAATAGTGTTATGTTTTCTAAATGATTACTAGATCGGCGTAAAAGCGCCTGGGACTAGGCCCGCGAAAGACGTAATAAATACCCAGCTAGCAGTGTTTAGGGTCTAATAGCTCTGTGAGTGAATGGTATATTTTAATGGAAATATCCTAAATCAAGAGTCTTTACATTCAGCTTTCAAATGGTATATAATTTCCCCATTAAAATAATAATCTTGGTGCGAATTTCGCCTGTTGAAAGGGAAGCTTTTTCTCGCTCGCGACAGGATTCCGCAGCGGGACCCGCAATAATGTGCTTTACTGTGATACCTATTAGCAGTATCTATTTAGCAAAGCCTTTAAAAGCAGTAATCTCTTCCCGTTTAAAGACGAGCATGAAACAGTAGCCAAATAATCTAACAATACTGTCACTTGACATAGCTAACACTAGGGGTAGAAATTGACTTTTGAACAAGGGAGTCCAACCCTACCCCTCAAAAAGAAGGAGTCCGCAGTCTGAGGTTCAAAATTAAAGATATTAACAATAACGCATGTGCTTATTTTTAAGATTCATGCAGTTGCATGTCTGCCAAATTTTCTTTGGACATTTAGCTGAAAAAATACAGCAATTCCGCGAGGCCGTGCTCCGGAACTGAACTAGTTAGTATGGCAGAATTTTCAGGGACTCGCACGGACTCCTGCATATGTCAAATCAGGGAGTCCGACAGTAAATCAGGGAGTATTTGACTCCGGACTCCCGTTAATTTCGCACCCTGTAACACCTTGCAGAGTTACTACAGCTTTCAGCAAGAATTAGCAGTATCTATTTAGCAAGTCTTTAAAGTTGCTTAACCTCGCAGCTAAATGTATATATATAGTCCTACTGTGAGCTCTATGTTGCAAAAATTCACTAGAACTCATTTGTATTGCTACTTTCATAACATTTCTTCTAAAAATCTAAACGAAATTACTTCTCTTACGAAAGTAGGAACACAGTGATGTTTACACATCTGGGACACAGCGGAGCGATCGTTAATAGTTTTAAATGCAGAGTAAAAAGTTGTTTAAAAGAATGCCACTGTTAACTGCAGTCCACAAAGTTCAATGCCATTTTAATCCACAGCCTATATCTAAGAGGCTAAATAACTTATCTCGCTGAAATTAGTTGTTAAATGTAATAAAGCATTTTCATGCCCACACATTCAACGCATAACATTTAAATATGTAATTTAAGGGATAGTAGACTCTACTACGGATTTTACTGCATACAACTGTACTTACTGTATTAACAAATCGTCTATACCCACACGTACTTGTCACCAGATACCCAATTTAATTGTTATAATTAATTATACATCAACGCTACAAAATTTGAATGGCGCCATTGACACCCGCGACCGTGCTGCCACCCTGAAAAAGTTGCACATTTGCCAATTTATTTTGCACGTTACAGACCGAGGGCTAATCACAAAGGTGCAATTATATTTATACCTGAATGCTATTTAACCAAACGATGTTCATTTTAGGACAAATTTATCCATAATATAACTGAAACTATATGTCGTTTATAAGATATTACAATCCTTTTGCTTTTAAATTAATAAATAAGAAACACCCTCGGTCTGTACATAGCCCTCGACTGAAAAGTCGTTTTGCGCAACTTACCAGATGCGCTTTGAGTGGCGCCACCGTCGTTGTAATCAAACTGTAGTGGTTAGTTTTAAAACATTTTTTAATAATATTTCTAATGGTGATTGAACCATGAAACTTTTTAGGTAGCGTAATTTTAACGCTGTGGCTATATGCCCAGCAGCCGGGCATGATCTTCGATTTCCTAAATGCCTGGCAGTTCCTAACCCTAACCCTCGCTTACTTGAGATAACGATGAAAATTAAAAACTGCCGGGCATTTAGGAAATCGAAGACCGTGCCTGGCAGCCGTCAGATATATGCCGGCTGCCGGGCATATAGCCACTGTGTAATTTTAACCTAAATTAACTGAAAATACCTTGTAACCCTAGAACCTAGAGAGTAAACGATCCCTTTATTATTCATATATGTTAAAGTACAACAACTATCTACTTTAAACAAAAACATGTATAATAATACAGAAATTGATGAAATATTAGTTTACGGTACAATGATGTGACATGTGAAACAATACCTGAGTTCTCGCTGTTACATTAGGGTGCTCTTTGTAAAAATCTTTCTCAAACTTGGGCAGCCTAGCAAGATCCCACTTGGGCTTTCTTAGATTGGCTCCTGGATCACCACTTTTCTGTCCACCAAAACCACCACCATTCATGGATCCCCCAAATCGACTTCCACCTCCACTTCCATATGAACTTCTCCTATCATTGCTTCCAAAACGGTCCCGGTCTCCAAATGATGCCCCCGAGCCTCTGTGAAATGAAAACACACTTACGGCCAACTGCTACACAACTTCACAAGGATCAACTTTAAGCTAAACCAGAATAAATTAGCAAAAAAGCTATTGATATCGTTGGGTAGAACATGCCCCACGGCACCCATCTTGTATCTTGGTACCCTCTCTTGTATTTCACAAAGCACTCGATTCTACGAGGTGCGGGGATTATCTAGAGAGGAGATTAATGCCGCCTCCAGTTCTCTAGATTTTATTGTTTCTAGTCACCAGTATTTTCCGTACGTAATCTAACGCTGGTTTCAATAACCTGTGGTTGTCTCCTATCCAGTTTTCTATTCTTTGTCCCTCCTTATATTTATTATAGCTATTACATTTATATAAATGTTCCATGTCTTCTTTTATATTCTTAGTACACATGATGTTATAGCAATACCATAGAGGCATAGTCCATGAATGATGATGGTGTAACTCTGCTTTTGTCCACAAATTGAAATTACACTCCTGCTCTACAACAGACACAATACTCAAGCAAACCCAACTGTACACCATGGTAATTCGTCTAACAGAATTTTTTTTTACACATTGCGGACTTGGAAGAATGGTATTCGTTCGGCTAATTAACAATTTTTTTTTTCAAATGAACAATTTCCTTTGACCGCATGCTCGCCATATTACTGCGTCGCACTCGCAAATCCTGTTCTGCGTCGTATTAATGTGCTCGTTAAAACGACATTTTTAAGAAATATAAGCTAACATACCCTCTTCTGTCTCCTCCTCTTGAATCTCTGCCTCTGTCCCTAAAAGACATGACTGTTGTTGGTTGATATTAATTAAGGTAAAGGTAATAACTTAGACAAAGCACAATTCACTCAAAAACCAACTCCGCAAACTGTGAAGATGGCGTACGAGAGGTAGTGCACATTGCCTCTATTATTCATCCACCGTTAACCGCGGACTAATTTCCCCTAATATAGAAAGAGGCTTGCTTTAAAACATTTGGTAAAGCTATTTACAGTCTCATCATAACGCAATTAACTTTTAAGCACCTGAACAGGGATATTATAGTGAAATGCATTATTAAACTTTTAAAACTACATTTTCCAACGCGCACTAATACAATTTTCACAAATAAGTACTTGTATGGTCCTTCGTTTTTATTACGAGGAATTCTGGGTTCCCAAGATGGCAGCGTACATCACTTGAAAGTGATTTCACATGTACGCCAATGAAATTACTAGTCACTGCTTGTGTACTGCTACTGAGTATATTATTGACACTGTTTTACTATATTACTAAGTGTGTAGTGTGTTGCATCATACTCACAGCCAATAATAATAATTAATTAATTTAAATAAAAACAATAACAAATATGAAATAACAATTTCAACAACAATGACAATGTCAATGTCAATCTCATTGTAGATCAAAGTTAAAAGTAGATAAAAGTAAATCTAGATAAAAGTAGGATCAAAAACGTGACACACAAAATCTTAAGTGTCCTTCGCCACTCCCGTGCTTAAACTGATTAAAATTGTACTACTAGTACTACATGTAATTATTTCTTTTATAATGATGTACTCTGTATTTATGTATGTCTTATGCACAAATAAACTGTTTTCAATCTTCAATCTTCAATCTTTAATCTTCAATCTTCAATCTTCAATCTTTAATCTTCAATCTTCAATCTTCAATCTTCATGATCCGGAACAAGTGACCCCAGGTTATATTTTCAGTTAAAATAGGTTTAAATTACGCAGTGAATAAGTGACGCTCTAAAATGCGATTTACCCTTTACTACTAGTACTAGGCTTTAGATTTTTGATTATTTTATGCCTTTTAGTTTTAGGCTGGGGGCCTGTAGCGTTTTGCTACGGCAGCCCCACGACTGTGACGCCCCTGCATACATGCGTTGCGTATGTGGTTATACACCATAGATAGTGATTGGTACTATCACTCGCGTATATATACGAAACCGAGCGTATAATAAGAGAACCGAGTCGGTGTATAGTTAGTGTTAGGGTTAGGGCTGCGGTTAGGATTAGGGTTAGGGTTAGAGAGTAGTCGTGGTTATAGGGAGTAGGCGCCTCCCTAGACTAGCATTATATTACATTTATGTAATACAACATGAACAGCTCATGCGCAACAATTGCTCGGACGAATAGCGCATACGAACAGGTGTCCGATGCTCGGACGAATATCCACGTCCATAAGCTAAAGCGGACTCGCCCATGTTGGCGAGTAAAAATAATTGTCTAAAATAAGAATTTCAACCGAATTCTTTTAGCGAAAATCATACTCCTCTGCATGCCTCTAATGTTTCTACCTTTTCCATCTGACATTTCTTAACACTATACTTAGAACTAGAATAAACAGAATTTGTTCTAACTTGCTGTGGTAGAGAGTTCCAAGCTTCAATTGCAGTATAAGTAAAAGAGTTTTTCCCACCGCTTCCTACCCTCAGTTTAAAAATAGACATCTCACCTTCCCCTTGTATTGAAACTATGGACTTCTGACGTTAACATGAAACCTTCAATCACATACTGTGGGCCGAGATATGTAATATTTTAAAAACCCTATTGACCTTCAGTTGCATTACCCTGAACTCTACAGGTACCCAATTTACAGCCTTTAACTCTCTAGCACCTATGTGTGCTCTAGTACCTAGGTTGAGAACACATCTAATGGCTTTATTTTGACACACTTGCAGCTTAGCCCTTGTGCGCTTTGTGAGACTGCTGTACCATATACTGCCAGTTATGGGATTCGAACGTAATGTTGATGACGTCATAAATATACTAGCCAATCAAATGTGGTGTACGGTAAAATAGCGGAAGTGGATACTCTGCCGTATATGGTTAAATATCCATTGCCTTTAAATTACGCTACATAAAAGATTTCATTGTTCAATAATTATTAGAGATATTTAAAAAAAATGTCCTATACAATATACTAGCCACTATACGGTGACAGTATACCGTGGGTTACAATGATGGTGGCGCCACTACAAGCGCATCTAGATCTACTGACAGTTGCGCAATGCAACATTTCGGCTACTGGCTACAGACATCGTAACCTCGTAAATAATAGTCTTCAACGTCCAAGGGAACGGGGGAAAGGGAAGACGGAACAAGGGAAAAGGGGGACGGAAGGGAGAACGGGGGAAAGGGAAGACGGAACAAGGGAAAAGGGGGACGGAAGGGAGAACGGGGGAAAGGGAAGACGGAACAGACAGAGGGTGTTTCTTATTTATTATATTAATTGAAAAGGAGAAGGATTGCAATATCTTATAAACAACTGTGAACTCTTAGTTTTAGTTATAATATGGACGAATTTGTCCTAAAATAAAAATTGTTTGCTTGAATATTAGTTGGGTATAAATATAATTGCACTTTTGTCATTTCGTATCATTTGTATTCCCTCTATCTGTAATTTGCAAAATAAATTATTTTTAATTATTAACGTGCTATTCTTAACCACATGTATATTATTTATGTGTTAGCAAGCATTTTTGGGATTTCGAAGGGAGAAATTCGAACAAGTCGGCCATATGTTTGAATTTTCTCTGTTTTTTGTAATTTATGCCTGCGTGCAGTAATGCAAGTATGGGAATCCCCAATTTCCAAATTATCTAAATATAACATCAGGAGTAAGATAATATAGGATAGGTAAGGATAGGATAGGATAAGGTAGGATAGGATAAGTAGATAATATCTTACTCCTGATAACATGAATGCTAAAGTAAATACCAGTTAGGGTGTCTGCTATGAGTCAGAATACACTTGCAACATGCAACAAGTCGGGTCAAATGTGGTAATTCGATTATTTTTTCACGAAATTCAGAGTTTGTTTTTAAGCTACATGGGTTTTTGTATCAAAGGGTGTCAGGCTTCTGCAATGTGAAACAGTCGTAGCGACCTGTCAGGTACTAACTTAATATTTTTCACGCAGTAATTTCACACCTATGCACAAATTGAAGAGACATTTCGGCAATCGTTTTTTCTGGCCAATGCCGTGCATTAAAGCGCTGCCACGTTTGCAGGAAGTTAATTTCGCCAGAACAAATGGCGTAGTTTATTAGGTAGGTTGTGTGCATGATTAAGGGCATGTATTATTTACTGGAAACATTATACTTATATTTTCAGGTATCTGTTGTCATGTATGATCGATCATGGCACGCTGCAACTTTATATTCAATGGATGTAGTTGAAGTACTGGATTTTAAAATTCTTGAAAATATCTTATAAATATATTTCACACAATAGCAGCTAGATAGTCTAGCTTTATTTGTCATCTGCATTTTATTTAAATTGATTAAATTTTCTGTTACTTATAATAGTATTGGTGATTGGAAAGAAATAATGAAGTTCTCGACTTCTTCGATCATCCTTCGCCGACTCAGTAGGTCATTGCGGAGCAAGTACATATGCAGACAACTGACAAACCAAGAAGCTTTGCTTGCGAAACCGACAGATTCTTTTTTCATTACGACCCCAATATTTTATGTGAATGCAGGTAATAAATGCAGCAAATCTCTAAATGCATGCAAATTTATCCAGTTATTTCCATACAGTCCCAGCAAAAACTAACATGGTCACACCAATTGCAAGTGGTAGTTGTTCTATTGCAAGAGTGTCGGCTGGTAATAACTCCAAATACCACCATTGGAAATTCAATGCTACAATGTCATGTATGAAAGTGCTTTTTATCTCAGAGTAATCTCTAACTGGAGTGCCCAATGAACAATTTTAACTTATGAATGTTTGTTCATCACTTTTGTGCTCACTTGTTCACATGTTTTCAGCTTCTTTCTTGTCTGTTTTGCACTTTTATTTTTTATTACATCGTTGTCCCCCACAGAGGCAACGACACACAAATTTTGTTGATGCACCCTCCTAGTATATATAGGTGATACAAGTATCTATTGGGACTATATCATTAAAGATTGAAGATGAGGAAATTTACCAATGTTATGAAATTAAAATAATAACCTCTTACATGTCGAACATGCTCTTGGTACACGTTATTGTTGTTATTACTAAATGTGTACATCTCGTTTCACATTTTCACATTTCACAAGATAGGATTAAGAACGAATAACTGAAGATTAGGAAACTTACTAATGTTATGAAATGAAAATAATAACCACATACATGTCGAACATGCTCTTGGTACATATTGTTGTCATTGCTACATGTTTACATATGGTTTCACATTTTAGCGCCTCATATTGGGCATCTATACACTGCATTGATAGCAGATGCAGCCCACAGATGGCAGTTGTTCCTCGGATGTCCAGCAACCATCTTTGCCACTGGAACTGATGAGCATGGTCTCAAGGTTTGTGAAATTGTCATCTCTAACATTTGCTTTACAAATATTGGTTATTGTCTTCAGTTGTGATCTGCACTTATTGTATTCTGTAGTTTTCATTTAGATCTATAAAACAGGGTACGAAATTAACGGGAGTCCGGAATCAAATACTCCCTGATTTACTGTCGGACTCCCTGATTTGACATACGCAGGAGTCCGTGTGACTCCCTGAAAATTCTGCCATACTAACTAGTTCGTTCCGGAGCACGGCCTCGCGGAATTACTGTATTTTTTCAGCTAATATCCAAAGAAAATTTGGCAGACGTGCAACTGCATGAATCTTAAAAATAAGCACATGCGTTCTTGTTAATATCTTTAATTTTGAACCTTAGACTGCGGACTCCCTCATTTTGCTGCGTACTCCCTCTTTTTGAGGGTAGGGAGTCCGTTGGACTCGCGTGTTCAAAAGTTAATTTCTACCCCTGTAAAATATTTCCAATGCTTTAAACAGGTTCAGCAAGCTGCAGCGATGGCACAAATGGATCCTCTGGATTATTGTTCACAAGTTTCAGATAAGTTTCGAGTAAGTATTTGTTTGTAAAGGAAGAAGCTTTGCTTCTAATAAGTTAGGTAGCCATATCCTGCTATCACTTTCTATACCATGTGTACAGAGTGAATTGTATTGCAATTTTTCTTTTTGCAACTTTTGATATATATATATATTACATTACATTACTGCAGAACAACATTTCTATATATATTGATTGTAATATCATTGAATCATGGCTTCGGCCCTCTCTCTCTCCCATCTTTCTGCACCCTCCTTCCATCTTTCTTCCATCCATGCTGTTTTCCTTGCCTGTCCTCTCTTTACTCTCTCTTCCTGTCTCTCTACTCTCCCCTTTCTCTTCTGCGCTCTCTCTCTCTCGTCTTCTTCTCGCTTCTCTCTCTCTCACTTCTCGCCTTATCTTTCTCCTCCTCTCTCTCCTTCTTTTCGCCTCTCCTGTCCTACTCTCTTTGCCTCTTTATCTCTTCTCTTTAATCTCTGCTCTCTCTCTCTTCATCTCTCTCTCTCTTCTCTCTCCGCTTTCTCTCTCAATATATATATATAATCTACTATTTATTTATACTAATATTGGATTTTTATTCATTTAGTATAGGCAGTGATTTATCTCACAAGATATGTGAAACCCTAATGTTGACATAACAGGTCATGTTAGCTGACCAGCTATGAATTGTCAGTACCTTATTTGTTTATCATAGGAATCTTTTCAGAAAACTGGTTGTTGAGACATTGACGCTTACATAGGACGACAGCAAGGGGCAGACATAAGGCAGTCGTTTGCAAGATTATTGGGTGCGTGTTGTTGTAAAACCTGTTTCTATTTTTGGCTCACAAAAATATGCCTTTCCAATGAATTTTTCCAACTTCTTTTTAGATAATCTATATTTCAGATGCTATAACCCAAGTGCACATAATAATCAGTGTGTCGCATTTCCATACGTCAATCGACCGGTTTACACAGCAGATTAAAACATATCAGTTGTTGGTTTCTCACTACGCACCTCTTCGTGTAATGGCGATTATCTTCAATGGAGCTTTGATTATGTGCTGGAATTCAGGTCTGAGCTGGAGCAATTGAAGGTCACATCTTACAAAGGGAACGTACAACGGCTGTAGCTGTGTGGCTTGACGACGAGCTTGTTGCGCAGATCTCGCATTGAATGAAATCGTGATTGATGGCTAGGACGTACCATATCAAAGTGAGTCAGCATAGCTGCCCACAACGTTATCAAATACTAGTTTTTGATACTGATGTCATCATTAGGGTTTAATTAACGCTCTGAAATAAAATGAATGCTGTCAGATTTTTCGCAGGGCCATTGTAATGTCGCGAGTTGTTTTTTTGGAGTTATCGTATCTGAAGGTCGCTGCAAGTGTGGGTCGTCATAGTGTAGCTGAGTACTTAGATATTTTATGGCAGCACCCTTATGCACTGCGCATAAAAAGTGACTATTATGTATCGTTTAGCGTTTCACATTCTGTGATGTTGACAGGGCACGTTTTTTATTACTAATCTGATTGGATAATTTGGGGCCTCAAAAAAATTTATAATATTCTATTTTGAATCCAGAAGCAAAGTGGGTATGGGTTTCAGGTATAATTTAATTCGCAATCGCAGGGAGCAATTGTCAGATGATCCGTTCTATATATCTGCATAATAATTAGTTTACATTATTATTCATTGATAACTGGTTATGCGGCTAGGACGATTGCAACGACTATTTGTTTTTAGACTAGGGTCTTCTGGTTTGTCCTTAGCCAGAAATATTGAACATTGCGATAGGCAATGTCAACATATGACCAAGTATACATCCTATTGGGCATCCTCCAACCACTTGATATTCGATTGACACCATTGCACCATGTATAGACGCGTGTGCGTGCATATTTAACTATTGGCCGATCGTCAATTCTTGTCTGTGAACGTCGTGGTTTTTTGTGTGTGTGTGAAGCGCCTATGCCTATTTGCTGCGGCAGTGTGTCGTTGATGTCGCGCGGCCCAACGAAGTTCGAATGTATCTGCGAGATATAAACTATTAATTGTCGCGGCTCTCTGCATTTGAGAATCGACCTTGCTTCGATGGCTGACGCATGATCGCGTACGTAACTATATCTACTGCGTGCATGTGTATGAATGCATTTCTGTGCAGCGTGTGTACCTATATTATCAGGAGTGAATAATTAGACGGATCTCTATTTAGTCTATTATTTACTCTGATAATATGTATGTTGTTTAATGTGACTGCACTATGTGCTGCGATGCGTGTGACGCATTATTATGTATGTGTGCTATTGTGACTGCACTGTTGTGTGGCATAGTTGAATGTATTATGTATTGTGTCTATGCTAATGCACTATGTGTGCATGCGATGTGATCCATATATGTATGTGTCTATTGTGACTGCTACTGGTGTGTGCATTATGTGTGAATTGTATTTGTAATTGTGTCTATGTGAATGCACTATGGTGCATGCGTGTGACCGTATTATGTATGTGTCTATTGTGACTGCACTGGTGTGTGCATTATGTGTGAATCGTATTATGTATTGTGTCTTATGTTGAATGCACTATGTGTGCATTATGTATGAATGTAGTATGGTATTGTGTTTATGTGATCTGCACTGTGTGTGCATATGTGTGAATGTATTTATGTTATGTGTTTATGTGACTGCAACTGGTGTGTGCCATATGTATGAATGTATTTGATGTATTGTGTTATGTGACGCACTGTGTGTGATATGTATGTAAGTATTATGTATGTGTTTATGTGACTGCCCTGTGTGTTCATATGTATGAATTAATTATGTATGTTTATTGTGACTGCACTGTTGTGTGGCAATATGTGAAGTATTTATGTAATGTGTCTATGTGACTGTACAACTGTGTGTGCTATGTGGTGACTATAAATTATGTATTGTCTAATGTGATGCACTGTGTGGCATGTGTGTGACTATATTATCTATGTGTCTATATGAACTCGCACTGTGTGTGGCATTGTGTGTGACTATTATTCTTATCTATTGTGTTCTATTGTGCCTGCACGTGTGTGGATGGCGTGTGACTATATTATGTATGTGTTTATGTGACTGCACTGTGTGTGCTTATGTGTATGAATGTATTTATGTAATGTGTTTATTGTGATATGCAGCTGTTCTTTTCTGTGTGTGCATGTGTGTGTATGACTTCACTGTGTATGCAACAAAGATGGAAAGCAATGTAACGAGTCAAATTTTGCTTGCATCTGGTCCAGTGACTATAAAATCATTAAATGATTGCCTTAATAAAATCATAAATGATGCATGCTGCATAATCGGCCATTGCTTACTTGCATTTACATTGCATTTTCTCTCTTGGTAGTGATTCAACCCAGCATTCAGAGCCATAGTTGAACAATTGATCAGAGAGGGTTTGCAGGACTTGTCCGTATCGAGAGGAAGCGATCGGCTGCAATGGGGAATTCCCGTGCCTGGTGACGACTCACAAACGGTATGCAGGAACTGTAGGCTGGGCAAATTTCCTATGGGGAGGGGGGTAAAATTCATGACTCCCACTGTAATGCAATGAAGGCGCGGCGCAGCTCTTGATCGACGTCCTCATTAGTGTGGTAGGGGTGGGTCTGAGACGAGGCTTTCACGATATATGTACGCAATAACGCATTACCGTTACCGGGTATTTACGATTAATTAGTCTAAGCTAAATTTTGCTCCAAAATCTAGGGGGGCAGCTACCCTCCTTGCCCCCCCCCACAGACTACGACCCTGGTATGTGAATCCATGCTGTTCAGAATGTCACACACGCGATTGATCAATCCTTGATCGATCAGTTTCATCATACGACGCGTGAGGTGGGCATGATGTTGTTACGTAACTACGTCGCTGCGTGATGTTTTGCGGATGCAGATCTAGCTACGGTGTCTCTGCAGTGCTCGAATTTTTCCGCGTTTAAAGTATTTTTCGCGTTTGTACAGATTCATTGTCATAAATGAAAGATATATCTTCTCAACATCCATACAAGTTTCTATTTACTTAACTATGAGCTATATGTGTGAAATATACAACATATTAGGGTTATCGTAAGAATTATAGAAGGCATGTCGTTTGTGGATGGATGGGGGCGGGCCCAAGAGTGGGTTTTACAAATTATGCGTTTCTTAAGTGGCCTTAATACACAGGTTAACTCAATCAGTTCGGAGACGTATACTTCAAGCTGTGAAAACACAGCATGACTGTGTTGGTATTGTCAAAAGTAAACACAGCTGGAAATTAAGGTATATCGATTAGGCAATTAGTGTATTAGTCATGTTGGAGCATTTCTGAAATGTTGCAAATTGGCTTAAACTTTGATGGTATATCAGAGCCAACAAGCATTAAATGTATGGGTAGAACCCTGACCTACAGACCTATGGCTTTTTTGCAGAAATTTCTCTGATTTATTGTGTAATTTAATTCACATTTGAGAATAATTATGACTGTATCACCCATTCGTGATTCACACAGGGATATAGGATGCACTGTGATTAGGTGAACTGTTACTTGTGGAAACCTAATGTGTTTACATAGAGCGATCCCGAGTTATCCAAATGGCAACTCGTCCGTCGGATTCTGTTATTTACGCTTTAGTTCTGGCTCTACGTGTTGTAATACATATTAGAGTCTTTGACCAGGATGTATTGATCACAGATCTACGTTTGGGTGGATGCATTATTAAACTACCTGACCGTAGCCGGATACCCACCCACACAGACAAGATGGCCACCAGACTGCCAGGTTATCGGCAAGGACATCTTGAAGTTCCACGCCATCTACTGGCCGGCGTTGTTACTTGCTCTTGGTTTGGAACTTCCCCGGCGCATACTCTGCCACTCACACTGGCTGTACGATCATCAAAAGGTGAGTGGTTGCTGAACTCACAAAGATGCGTCAGAGATATCCTGTCACGATTTTTATTATTATAATTATTATAATAATTATGACTGTCATGATTTCCGTCATCTGTTGTCATCTATTACACTGTCATGATATTGATTCTAGATGTCAAAAAGTAGAGGGAATGTCGTCGACCCACACGCAGCATTAGAAACATACACCATAGATGGGTTTCGCTACTTCCTGCTACGTGAAGGTGTTCCGCATTCCGATGGTAGTGAGTATTAACTTCATCCCGATTAATCAGCGATTGCACACTGAAATCTTGGTCATAATTTTGGTGATAATGGTGCACCGAAACCTTGGTTTTTTAATTTGGGTTTTAATAGTACACCGAAACCTTGGTTTTTGTAATTAAGGTAATAATGCTGCATCAAAACTTGGTGTGTTATAATTCTGGAATAAGTACTGTATCAGAACCTTGGGTTTTATAACTCTTGTTCAGACAAAAAAGCATAAAATGATTTGCTGGAACAGGAACTTTTTCCTAATTTCATTGATGCCCCATGAATTATTCGATGGGTTTAGAACATTTTGTATTATGGACTCTTGATGGCATCCAAATGTTCATTGGTTTAAAATGATTGCATAAACCAGACTTTTACTAAGATGAGCTGAGAATATAATCATAATTTCCAACAATATAAGAGCATATTTTGTAGTTGATTCTTTAAACTTATCTATGTGATGATGCAATTTGAGCAAGAATTTGCAGCCATGATAATGCAGCATCAATGGGTGTGCGTACTGATGCCACTTGCATTCGACCTATATGTGCTATGGAATTATATGCGATGGTGATTGTGTTACGCTAATGACATTTTTCGTGACAGACTATAGCGATGAAAAAGTGGTGAAGATGTTAAATGCAGAGCTGGGCGACACGTTGGGGAACCTGCTCAGTAGATGTACAGCTCCTGCTCTCAATCCTGCTCAGATCTTCCCACCTATCAACGCTGAAATACTCATGATTGAAGAATGTGGCCAGCAGGGCAGGGACCTACTGGATAAGGTGTCAAATCTGGCAGGTGCGCAGCTCGGCAGTTCCTATTTTGCATGCCCATAAACCCATGTCATTGCACACCATTATCCTAACAATCTACTCCATCTGGCCATCATCTTTCATCCATCGCATTCATGTCATGTACTTCCATCTAATCCATCATTTCATCGACCATCTATCCATTCATCCATCCATTCATCCATGCGCATCCATTCATCCAGCTATCCATCCACCCATGCCATCCATTCATCGCATCCATGCCATCCCCATCCATCCATCGCATCCCATCCATCATTTCCATCCGATCACAGCCATCCATTCATCCATCATCCACCATACCATTCCAGTCCCAGCCATCCATGCCGCTACCGCCATCCATCATGCCAATCATCCATCCATCCAGACCATCACATCACACTTCACCCCCATCCAGCATCCAGCCATCCACCATCCATCCGTCCATCCATGCCATCCAGGCCTCCTCATCCATCCAACGCATCCATCCATACCATCCAACCATCCAACCATCGCATCCATTCCATCCCAATACAATACATCCATCCATCCAGCCATCCATGGCCATCCATCCATCCCAAATTCATCCAAAACCATCCCACATGCCATCTCATGCCATCCATAGCCATCCATCCATGCCATCCATCCATCCATCCATCCATCCATCCATTCATTGCATGCCAAGACCATAGCAACCATCCATCCAGTCGTCATAGCCATCCATCGCCATCCATGCCATCGCATGCCCATCCATCCATCCAACCATGGCCATCCATCCTCAGTTCATGCCAACCCATCCAACCATCGGCCATCTCATCATCCATTCAGCGGCCCAAGCCATCCAACCATCACACAACCATCTCATTCATACCATGCCATTCACCATCAATTGCCAGTGCGCCATCCCAATTCCGCATCATCCAATCCATGCCATCCACCATCACGCGCGCAATTCTCATCGCCCATGAAAAGCGCCATCCATCCATCCATCCATACATCCATCCGCATCCGATGCCATGGGCCATCCATCCATACCATCCTAGTAGTAAATGTCATCTATGGATTATTCTAGCAGTCCATCTTGATCGTGGTGATCGAGTAGGTTTTGCTCGCGCGCGATCTGAATTAAGATCAAGAACATGTAATTGTGCTTGGGCCACCAAGGGTGAGTCACTACTTCTATCACTGTCCACGAACAACATCGCAGTGAAAATACTGGGAGTATGTTGTTTCTGATATGGCTTTAAGCAGCCAAGGGGCGTAGCTACGGGGGTTCCACACAAGATTTTCGTGGGTGCCCCCCCCCCAGGTAACGCCACTGGAAAATTCCGCATGTGTGATAAAAAAAAAATTGAGATTAACCAACAATGGCCGTTAGAACAGGATATACATTACAAAGAGAAAAGTTTAATATATTGTGCCGCCCCCACGAAAATGTAAAGGCCCCCCAGGCCCCCCACGCGCTGCAAAAAACGCAGCTAACGCCAATGTTAGGCGTACGAGAAATCGCATTGGCCGCGTGAAGAACGTGCTGGCGAGCGGTGAATCGTAGCCCATCTGTGTTGCCTGGCACAGTGGGGGTGCCGAACACTAGCGTGACTCCCCCGTCGACGAACGCAACATTCGTACGCCCGGCGGCGCACTCGACGGCATCACTGTCATTTCTAAGGGACACCCCGAACGGCCTTCATCCAAATCAGGCGCCCATGGACCGGCTGAAAAAACCGTCGCGGGAGAAGCAGGCGCCAGCCGCGTACAGGACTGTGCTTCAGGCATCGCGCTAGAGGCCTGCGAGTCAGCGGGTCTATTACTTCAGCCTGTCATGCCATCCTTATGCTATGAGGGCTCACTCGATTGGGTGACACCTAGCGAGAGGACGGCCAAGTATTTAAAATTGTCCATTGGGGTGATAAGGTATGCAACTGCGGCCCTATGAGAATCGCCACTAGGTGGCGACAGAAGCGTTTTGTTTCCAGAAGATTCGTGACTAAAGTGATTGGGCAGTATTCTCAGAGAAAATGGGGACTTTCTTAACTACTACTCGTGGCTAGCCTGCAGTGTGAACTTATGATAGTCGTGTGTGTTCCAACAGAGCATGATCGGCACACACGCTCAACATCAGGACGCTCACCGTTGCCGTTTGGTTATTCGCCGATGATGTACTTGTATAATTGTAAGAATGTAATACGTTTTCGTTGAACAAAAACTGTTGATTTGCATGGAACCGACATATACCCAGAGTACCTTGTTACAGTTTGTTGTATCTTGAATTTTATAGTTCGACTTGCATGTCTGCTGTTTACGATTCTCTGTCTGACGTTAAGTGTGGTGTCGTCGCAAGCTATTATATGAAGGGAGCTACAGACCGATTATAGTTCCCCGTTTTATCTGTGACGCATATTTGGATCGTGGGAGACGAGGCGCGGCGAGAGAGAGACATTATACATAACCCAAACAGCAATCATTAGATGATTAGATAATATAATATAAGATAGACTGAACCAAGAGAGCTGGCCTGCATTAGGCTTATATCGAATTTGTTCCTTTAACTCTTACTATAGATTGTAGCTCGACCCCATCCATCTCTATAGAATATTCTCGGTTCACTCTCTATTAGAATTTTCTTCTGGCACTTCGCTCCAGTCCATAGGATATTTGTCGCCTTGTTCTCTATATAAGTTCACGATTATAAGAATACATTTTGTCAATTCACGTCTATAGGACAGTTTTCTTTTGGCGACTTCCTAATAGGATTTTATCCATTAATCTCTATAGAATTTTATACCTTACTTCCTGATAGAATCAATATAGCTACAGAGAGATAGTTAGACATGAGATATGGCGCCCTATTTCTTATTATCGAATACTTGTTAGCTCGTTCTCTGTATACTGGGAATTTACAGATATTTCAATCTATTTTTGATGAGGAAAAAACTGCAAAATGACACTCGACGAAGCCATACAATTCATTCCTCACTGCCTAACTTATGCGCGCGTGCTGGTGTGTTCCGTTTCTGCGTAGGCTCTGGAAGTAACATCCAATGTTTCTGAGTGTGCTTCTGGTTATATGACTTTATTTCCTTTATCTGCTATCTGCTAATCCTGGCTTGGTCTTCTATCTGGCTATATATCTTGATATGCCTTATCTTCCCCTTCTATCCTTTCATATCGTAACTGACACAGACACGGCAACTCGCTCGTGGGTAGCAGACAACAACACAAGTACAAAGTAAAATAAAAACAATTGCAAAACACGAGACCGACAGACCCATAAAATAATCGGAACGCACCCCCCCGACGGTCAACCGTCCCCACGGAAGCCACCCTTCGACAAGTTCACCGTTGAACTGTCCCGCTCGCGCAGGGAAAAACATCTGTCCAAGAAAAAAAACACCTTAATACGCAAAGCGAAAATTAGAGAAGGTGGGTACTAAGTAATACCGGCTTGATCACATTTCTCGCTCTCTCTAATGCATGAGTTCCCGTTGGAAACTGTCACGTCGCGCATAAAACTGTCAGAAAAAAAACCACCTTAGGGAAGTGGGTACCGGCTGAATCACATTTATGGCGTCTCTCTAATGCACAGCTGCCAGAAACGCTTATTATTATACGTCGTTTTTAGTTTACCGTCGTTATTTCACCGCCAACGCCGCAGGCTTACCTGTGGCGGCCCTGTTCGTCTTGTTGGTTTGTTTGTCGTCACACAGGATATCTACAAAAGTTATAACGATTTGAATGACTTTTTTTGGACGGGTGGTCTTAGCCAACAATCAATCGATTAGATCTTTGCATGTCGCCTCCAGCCGATCCAACTCTGCACATGCCACGGATTTTGTTTTAAATTTTTAGAAAATTCTTTTTTCTGTTGTGGGGAAGACTTCCGGCCCATTTCTAAAAATGTCCTCTAACAAAAATGCCTCGGATCTTTTCCGTTTTTTTCGAACTTTTCGACAATTTCATCAACACTATATGGGTCGTTTCGGCAAGCTGGGGCGGGGGGGACTGTTTACGCTGTGGGCGGAGGTTTGCTATTCCGCGATTGTTTATCACTTGGTTATAGACGTGTGTTTTTTAACGCGTGCGTGGTAGCGTACGCGTGGCTGCAACCGTGCTGGCTGCAGCCGCTGCGCTGCTGCTGCCGCAGCGTCTGCTGCTGGCTGCTGGCACCGGTGGCTGCTGGGCTGCAGCCGTCCTGCTGCGCTGCTCGCACCGTCTGCTGCTGCTGCACCGCTCTGCTGCTGCTGCTGGTGGGCACGCTCCTTGCTTGCTGCTGCTGCACCGCTACTCGCTGGCCGCTCGTCAGCCGTTGCCTGCTGCTGGCACGCTCTGCTGCTGCTGCACCGTCTGCTCCGCATCGCTGCTCGCACGCGTCTGGCTGGCTGCTGCGCGAGCCGGCGGGCTGCTGCTCCGCGCTGCATCTGCTGCTGCTGCGCTCACCGCTCGCTGGCTGCACGGTCTGCTGGCTGTGCTGCACCGTCTGCTGCCTGGCTCGGCACCGTCTGCCTGCTGCCGCTCGCGAACCGCGTCTGTGCGCTGCCGCACCGCTCTGCTGCTGCTGCACCGTCTGCTGGCTGCTGCAGGCCGTCTGGGCTGACTCGCTGGCTGCAGCCGCGCTGCTGCTGCAGCCGTCTGCTGAGCTGCTGGCACCGCGTCCGCTGCTGCTGCACGCGTCTGCTGCTGCTGCACGGCCGTCTGCTGCTGCTTGCTGGCACACGTCTGCTGCCGCCTGCATGCACCGTCCTGCCTGCTGCTGATGCACGGTCTGCTGCGCGTGCAGCCGCTGCTGCTGGCTGGCACTGTCTGCTGCTGAGTGCTGCACCGCTCTGCGCTGCGCGCTGGCAGCTGCTGCTGCTGCCCGCTGCTGCTGCTGCACCGCTCTGCTGCTGCTGCTGCACGTCTGCTGCTGCTGCACTGTCGCTGCTGCTTGCACCGTCTGCTGGCGCTGCACCCTGTCTGCTCGCTGCTGCCCGTCTGCTGCTGGCTGCACCGTCTCGGCTGCTGCTGCTCGGC